GCACTTGTACCAACAGTTGACTAACTTACGTAAAAAAGGCTCTTGATCAATAAGGTGGGATCTATAATCCGACAGATTGGTAGCTCAAATCAGAATACTCGTAAATAACGATTATCCCTTTCGCGGCACATGCCACCACTTTACCGCAACAGCGGGTGCACTAATGGGGCTCTAACAATCAAGAAGGAAAGCCTGACCAGCAGAGAGCATGTGTGCTAGGGGTTGATCCTTGAAGATTATTGAGGTGGGGCTAATACACCCCACCGAGGGGTGCCAACAAGATCAAAAAAAGTTCGCAAGGATCAGTCTGGTGCTGAGATACATAAAATCCCGCCCAATATCGAGAGTGAGGGATTGACTAGAGCCTCAACTCGCCTCAACTCAACACCCACCCTCACTTAGCTGTGCGGACTCCAAACTGTACTCGCACGAGTATGATACTCGTACAGCTACTGTAGCTAATCCCCTCACCCCCCCCCCCACCTAAATGAAAAGGAAAAAAGAAACAGAAGTGTAAAAAGCAAAAGAAGCTTAACCCCGATGCGTGGCCACCGGATAAATCTGAATACCGGAATTTGTCCTCGCACTCGCACATACGGGTATCCCACCAACTAACTAACTTACCAATCCCCCACAAATCTCCACTCCCACCACCCCAATAAACCCGGAAAAACCGGCACAACCCCTCCCACCTGCCGTCGCGGATGGGATGTCCCACGGCGTCACCGTACGAGTACTCATGGCCAGCGTCGCGCGGGCAGATACCGGTACTGCCGTATTCACCCCCCCCCCCGTACAATCGCCCGCTTGGCAACTCATCCCATCCGCAGATCCCGCGCCTGTCATGGCGCATGGACCTTTGGAAGTTTCCCGAGATCCGGCGCTGCGCGAAATAATGCGAAGGCGAGGGGAAAGCCAGCCCGAAGCCGGTGCCCGTCCCAAATCGTCGTCGTGATTGTAAGTGGAAGTGTTAACCAGGAGAGGGGGTGGGTGGGGTGGCAGAGGTTGTCGTTGGCGGCCGATTTTGCTGCTTTTCACTACATCGGGGCTCAACCGCCTGTAACTTGGTGGGAGTGAGTCAATTCTTCACCAGATGGTGAATTGGCAATTCCCGCAATGGGTATCTTCTTGTATGAATGCTCGTACAACTTCTGAATCCTTCTCACCAATTCGATGAGGGATGTCCACGCAACGAATACCGGTATGCTATAGAAATAACGAATTTAAGAATCTCTGGGTCTTCAGCTATCCATTGATATATTTTTCGTTTTAATTGATTAATGGGCGGTGGTACGAATCGCGATTTCCATAAACTCCGAATTCCGATTTTGGTTCGTTTTGGCGGGTATGATACTATACTTGAATGCAGATGTCATTTTCCAAGAACTAGACCATGCTCAAGTGGCCGGATTGAAATCATGAGTGCCTATCGCAGGGCTCGCTTAGTCAACCTCTGATTTCAATCCGGCCACTCGAGTACGGTACTCGCACCGTACCATCCTCACTACAGTTTTAAGATTTTGCCCTAGCCGTTGTTTTCAACTACCACCACCACCACACAAGTAGTGCTATTGTGATACCGCGCACTGCGCAACCCTCACCACGACCAGCTTACGAGTACAGTACAACCACAAGCGAGCCCCGACAAAAAAAAACAAAGTTTCCAGAGAAGAGAAGGAGGTAAAAAAAAAAAAAAACTCTTACACAAAAACCATTTTCGAGTAAAAAACCGATCTCTCTTTGAGCTCTTTTCCTCCTGATTACCGTCAAGTGGGTAGCGCGATCGGGAAGGGGCAAGGGCGGCACCTCTGAAACAGTGAGCCTGCGCACAAATCTATGCCAAGGCGCCCAACCTCCTGCGCACATTGCTTGGGGGGGGGGAAGCAAGGGCTGAAGGGCTGAAGGGGAAATGAATAGGTTATTCACTTACGGTGTATCATAGTATAATTGATGACCTCCTGGGCACCACGGGAGCTCCTCGAGAAAGTTGCTGGTACTTGCGATACTGGTATGATAACGTTTATTCGAGTCCTCGCGGTAACCCGATAACGGGTCAAACAGCGCGTAGGGTTCCACGACACGGCAAAGCGTTTGCCCAGAAGCATCAACGCGCTACTGGTAAAAGGTAGATGTATTGTACGGTACGGGCGTAAAACAGCGTTATGGTGGGTAACGAGAGATTTACTCGAGTAGTAGCAGTGGTGCCCCCGAGAAACATGGCTCTACATGGAGCTCTATTTCCTCTCCTCCGAGTCAACTTTGAGCGGATGCGGTTAATAGGCCAGGTGCCTGGCATCCAGCTCAATACCGGTACGTTTACCTAGGGGAATAACTCTCCGGAGACTCTTGTTGAGCGGTGGAAAGTATGATATGTGTCCGCTCCGGGCTAGTACAGTACCACCATTTTATGCCTATATCATGCCTTGAGCCAGTCAGTTCCAAAAGTATCAGGACAAACACCCAGACCCTAACCCTACGTAATTACTAAAATTTATATGGGGTCTGTGCACCTTAGAGTGCGACTAATCCCGATACGGGACACTCCCCGCATTTGGCACTTTCAAGCCACTTGTATTTAACCATAACGCGATGCGAGCACCCAAATGAGCGCCTAAGCGAGAACCGAGGGAAAGCCACTATCCGTTACAACGAGGGTCAAAATAGAACCGTTTAGCCAAAGGTTCCCCTCTCTCCCATGAAGATGGGAAAAAAAAAAAAAAAAACTTCGAATAGAGTGAAACGACTCTAGGGAGAAGCTCTTTGGATCGCTGAGGACCTACTAAAAAAAAAAAAAAAAAAAAGATTGACAGCCATATCCTAGCCCCCCATCTCTACTCATGATAGGAGGTGGACGCCGACAGCCAGTTCAAAATCGGCCTCGGTGTTGAGTGTAGTGGTGGTGCACACACATCGCCTATCTTCGTGATCGCAGGACGTTCGTTTAAGGTTTTTGTAGGGCTGCAGTGGTCCTCGATCGATCTGGGCTCACCGGTCGGGATGAGGTGGAGTGAGATCGTCGGGTCTTGCAAGGTTGATTTCGAATGTGTGCGCAGCCATTACCGTGCCGGCACTAGCTAAATGCGGGGTCGAGTTCCAGGATGCGGGGCTCCCGGCTGACGGACTAAAGGAGAGGGGTCGGCTAAAAATGGTTGGATTCCTCGAATAATGTGCTTCCCATGGACGACGTTAGAGGCTGCAAGTGCTTCGTTCGCTGGGGGTGGAGAGCAACACACTGGTGCCCTAGGGGAACATTTCCTCATATGTTTCCCGGTCCGTCATAGTAGCTCGATGGTGAAACGTTACATATACATAGCCTAGAACGTGTGCCGGTTCTAGTGGCTTCCTGCGCACCGGAGTGAAACAGCAACCTGTCACGAAAAAAACCGATCCGATGCTCGCCAATGCGAGATCAAGGGAATGTAATGCTCGTGTTGAAGAAAAATTGCTAGCGATGGAGCGCTTTCAACAGCTTAGCATCCAATGTGATAATTTTGGTGAGTATTCCACCTCGGTGAGATATCGCAATCACAAGGAGGCTCCACAAGAAAGTATCATAAGGAGTCTCTTTTCTCAGTAGTTCAGTGGTTCGAGCCTAGGGCTTGTGTTTATGCGGATTGAGGCACGGTATGACTTTTCCAAGCAGTGGGGTGGAAGAACCTGAGATTGTAAAGGCCCTTTTTTGTCTGGAGATGCCCACCTTATAGGCCAAGGGAGCCTACTCAACACCCCACACGATTTTTCCTAACCTCTCGCTAGCGAGCATTTTGTCCCCTCGTCTCCATTTCGGCAGGCATCCTCTAAGAGGAAGGAACAACTACCTAGCCCAACCTTTATACCATCTTCCGCCACAAGGTTGAATATGCATAACCTTCCCCATGTGGTCCGTCTTTTGTTTCACGCCCTGCTCGGTACGTCACCTTTATATAGCATAAATCCCTGCATATTAAAAGTTTTCATACAGGGGAGTGCTTGACGCGAACGAAAATGTTGCGATAATACATTTTTCTATTCACAATAGTTATTATATTATAACCATGATAATATGATATTGAGAGAGAGTCAAATATATGCGCTTAGCGCTTGAAACAAAACAAACAAAGTTTCGCCATAATATCATCATCATTATTGCCTCGAATAATATGCAATGCAACTATCAGCGAGGTGAGTTATGATATAAAAACAATTCATAATGTTATGACGCTTGATTGATCGACATTTCTTTACGGATTTTTTCCATTGTTGGGAACAACATCTTGGTGGATACAGATCCTGACGGGTATCAGAGTGACTTTTGGGAGCTGCTTGGCACGCTGTGATTTGAGCTGTTGGTCCTCTCAGAACGTCCAAAAACGTGTTTTGATATGACTGGTGTTTACCATGCTATCATTCGCAAAAACACATTTGGGAAAAATTTTCCGAAAAACACATTTAGGCTAAAAGGTGCTAATAGCAGGCATGTTAGTGGACATAACTATGGTAATATTAAGTAACATGTTGAAAACTTGGCAAAAGGTTCGCAAAAAAAATAAAAAACCTTTCCAGCCTCTGGTATGATAAACACGTTTCCACAAACGCGCTCTGAGAGTGGCTCAAATAATGGCGTGCTGTTTGGCTCCTGGGTTGGACTCTGACTCTGTCATAACTTGTGACTGCTTTTGCTCAATCGGCTCCTTATTTGCTCGAAACCGAGGTCTCAATTGTTTAACCCTGCATGCGCACAAAGTACGACAGGGTAACAATTTTCTTGGCTCCTATATTCGTTTGCTGCTTGCCCAAACAATCACCTATGATAATTATGATATATTTCTTTCCACTGTGATATGTTTACATTGTGACGCGCTGCGCCGAGCAGGGTCTTGATTTGATCATGTCCACAGCCACCCCCACCTTAGAAGAATCATCTTAAAAAGAGCTCGATAACATCTGCTCCGTTCTGAGGAAAGGCAAGCTGCCCGACTACCTACCGACGCACATCCTGACGAGAGATAAGTGTGAGAGATTTACACAAATCCTCCAACCAAATTCTCAATAAAGCTGCTACTCTCCACACTTTCCAGAACCCTGACTTCGATAGTTATCAGCCCCCCCGAGGTTGTGTGTACTACTGTCATCCCTTGTTCCTCTTCTCTCCACCTCCATTCAACACCTCCCTCGATTTTCGCGTCCATGCTAGGCTTATTCACCACCCACTCCTGTTCATTGCCATCGCTGATCGTCACCAAACATCTTTGCCCGGAGAAGTGATAGGCAGGGATAAATATCTCTGTTGTGCGCTCTATCTCTTTCCCGGATGCGTTTCCCACGAATTCCATGTGAAAATTCTTGCTATCCATCAAAAAATGAGAAGAAATTAACTTCCCTGCTGTCTTAGCGGGATACGGGCGAAGAAGAGCTGGCAACAGCCTCCCTCCGAGGTAGAGACCCCCGAAGCTACGAGCCCGCGTCAGGGGCACTCCTCCATTGGTTGGGCCAACATGTGAGGGCTCGAGAGGAACTTCAACGGTGTTTGGGTTATAAAGAGAAACAAGGGAGAAATCTTCGCTGTTCCATCCATCGCCGGATTGGATTACAGCACCCGTTTCATTGGCCGTTGGTGTAGTCATATCGGTTGCAGTAGTTGAGTGGGAAAGAGTGAGATTCCACACCGTCCAATTGAGAAGCGATTTTTCCATTCCGCGGAATATGGAGTCGAGTTGCGAAAGTTGCATGTGGACATCACCGGTAACGTATGAATTTTGCCCGTTCATATCAAATGGGATTCCAGTTTCCCCTATGAGAATTGGAGTGTGGGAAGATGGCGAGGGACGGAAAGTAGACAAATGTGAGGCGAATCGGGCAAAGTTAGTTGTATAATTAGCCGTGAGTCCTTCTCGGCCAAAATAAGTATGCTTGAAAAGATTCCGAGAGCCCTGCAATGGTCAATATAGTCTCAATTATACTGGTCATCAATGAACTTACAGCAGCAAGTGATAAAACATCAAAAGTAACACCATACCAGAGGCCTTTTTCGTATAGAACACGGATATCATACCAATGTGGCGAGTAGCATATGTTCTGCTCTGCCGTTTTTTTGATCCCATCACCATTCCAAACGGGTGGTTCAAGATTTGGAATGGGCTCGATAAACATCCATCTACCAGCGCTGTATCCTTTGACTGCCTCCCTGACACTTTGCATAAATGAGCGAAGGAATGGGACGTAGCAATCCTTCTCAAAGTCTATTTTATCACCTGTGCGAGGATTTGTCGTGAAATAACTATCTCCTCGAGATCTCAACTTAACTTTCCCATCATCTACGGTAAATACGCCCTCTTCTTGCCAGATATCCCTCCTCCCTGGTAGCCACGCGGATTTACATTCTTTGTTAAGAACTTCACTCTTCGTCCTCTTGGAAGGATGCGGCCACGATCTTGAGAAGTACCCTATTGAAGTTGGGATACCCGCGGCCAGTGACATGCCTTCCAATGCGTTAGGCATATATCCAAGATGCAAGTCGGTATTTTCGTTGAATCGATGCAGGCTTGGCAATGAAATGTATCCAGGATGAGGTTCGTTCATGGCATCAAATCCCAAAATATTTGGTAAATCTTTCAATCGCGAGGCAAGATGGGAATACGCTCTCACATAAGCTGTACGAAGTACTTGGCCAATGTTCTTGGCCTGGAACTCTTGAATTGGCCCCTCATAGATTGCTGAGGGTGCAAATATTTCGCCGGCGAAAAAGAGTGTAAACATGGTAGCAGGACCGAACTTGGAGTAGTTGGTGGGCCAAAGACGGCCAGAGGGAGTTGAATGATGACTGCTTGTGTCTGCAGAATCGAGAGCTGCCGAGTAGGTAGTAGGAAAGACGGAAGGGTCGAGCCCAGCAAGATGAAATGTCCATAAGGGAGCACCGGAACCCCCGGTAAAACGGGACCACTAAATTATCTTAGAAGTGTTTTATCAACCGGAAACGACTTATATACCACATCTTGATGACCATCAATGAAGACTAATAGCCCAACCTCATTTGCTTTGTCTAAAATTACTCTCAGAAAGTCGATATACTCCTCATCATATTTACCCCTACCACTACATCAGTACCAGGGCCTAGCTCCCAGGGGCCCCACCGTTAAAACCCCAAAGACCGCAGTGACTCACATCTCTCTTGGTTCTAAAGCCTCCCAGCACACAACCATTCTCACAACACCAACACCCCAACCCTTAAGCCGACTCCACCAAACTTTCGCTTCATCCACCGATCCAAAAGGTTTCCCAACATAGCTCACGTTATCAACATTGTAAAATTCAGGTGTCCTAGCGAGGGGATTGTTTTGGGGAAATTTTGCGTCGCCCGAAACATTAATCCCACGCAACAGAATGGTACGTCGGTGGTCATCTGTAAAAGCATTGGCTGATGGGTGTGCACTAATTGAGGAGGGGTCAAACCATGTTGATGGAGGGAGAGAGGTCGGAATAACGACTGGTCGCGGGGAATAAGAGGAGTTCATACGATGAGAGTGGCGAGATGGAGTGGCGAGATGTAGTGGCGGGTAAGGGGGATAGATGTGGGGAGCGCAGACAGGAATGTTGGTGAATACAGGTTAATGCTTCTCAGGGGTCGGACAGTGTAGACTATGTGTCTTTATCAAAGTCCAAAAGTAGTATCGCCCGTGCAGTTTCCGGAGGTTGGAACAAGCTTTTCTGACACACCGGGCTAACGGGATGTGTGAAAGTCCTCCGTGCGGCTGGCGGTAGGGTTAGGGCTTACCCCTGTCGATTGCCGCGCGGGAGTTACAATCGTACCACACATATTGCAACCACACATCCACGAAAAACTATATGAGTTCCATGCCAGAGCCGCCTGGCCGGGCAAACTGTGGTGCTTAGGGGTTCTCTCCCGAAACATTCTGGTCTTTTAACAGCCTACTAATTAAGCGCGTTCCGGTGGCCTTAGTCGGAGGCGGGCAAGCTCTCACTTTTTGCGCCCAAAGCAGGGTCTTGAGGCCTCGGAACATGCATACCGGCCATTATCCCTCTAAAAAAAGGTCCTTTAAGCCATAGAATCCATAAGGTCTTTGCTATAAGACCTCGTTCCTCGCGCAACGGATATCATAATATCCTCACCTCTCTACATCTCGTAGCTATGCAGATGTCACTCCAAGGAATCCCAATCTCTTCTCGATTAAAGGCAATACTGTCCTGCGGCCAACTCCTTTCTGAGCTGTATTTTACGAAGGCTTCGAGTGAAGGTCAAGCCAAACCCTTAGAATCAAATTATCTTAGTTGTTCGAGCCACGCCGACGGCCGGGGGGGCTGGCGTGAGTAGGTAGTCGGCTGAATTTCGGGAGGGTTCCATGCTATGCGTTTATCTGCTTAGGGGTTGTGAAAACACAGGCCAGCAGGACACGAAAAGTAAACTTCTATAAAAGTAATTTCCCGCAAATACGGTAGAGTACGGTGCAGATACTCCTGAGTAAGGAAAGAGTGACGATGCCGTTGCCCTATGAATAGACAGGTGCTGTTAGATCGGGGTGATGATGGTGAGAGTAATGAATGTAGTGGCGATGGGTGCATTGACACTACTGCTTACCACGATAACGGTGGATTGGATCCCCCGAGATGGGAGGGGGGGGGGTGAAGATCGGGTGATATTTTTGATGGGTCCATGGAGACAGGCGTAGATTACGCTCTTACCGGCCCCCCTCCCCAGGATCTGCTTTGCGCCTTTTGGTATGATACATATCGAGCACCAACAGAACACAACATGCTCCAAAAGGCACACCCACCCCAAAGATATATTTTCATTACCCCGCAACCAAAGATCCAACCCAACACCTCCGGGAACTTCCCCTGGCACCCTCCAATTCCATTTCTATAATATCCACCCTCATATCTTGTCCCTGTCCCCGCGCTCTCAACCAATGATTATGCCGCGTGGAGGCCTAAGATATCCTAGCTCACAGTATACGTTTCGTGAAGAGAACGCCTTTCGGAGATAGTGAGAATGAACCACACCGATGCTCCGGCTGATATGGTGGCGACTACTATTTGTTTTTCCCGGTAAGTCGCGTATGTACTGTACCCGGGCCTCGCAGGGTGCATATTGCGGAGGCCGCAATACAGGCTTCTATTGGTTTATCAACCAACATAAACCCGCATCAACCTGAACTAGCTAGAATCTTGGATCCCTTTTGATCCGTCCAACTCTGGCTCTAATAGCTCATGGAGGATTGCGATTGCGTGACAAATTTTAGGTATCTGAAAAATAACTGTTCTTTCCCCCCCTCCCTGTCTTGTGAGACGCTACACACTATCAGTGAGAGATAGGTGTGGTACTGTGCCGTGCAGGATACCGTATATGAACCCCTGTAATAGCAAGCAGATTTCAAAGCATGCGCTGCAACGCATTAGGAGACAAGTCGCAACACGGAACGTTATCCATCACTCTCAAAAAGTTATCATAGGTGCTTTGGGCGATTAGCTCAGCAAGTTGTTTGCAAAATGGGGTATTTACGGAGCATTGATGAATTAGTATGTGTACGAGGTGGCTATTCGTCGCAATGACCGCAACACCCAAAAAAAAAATATGCAACACAGGAAAGCTAGGGAAATTTCTACTCTTTTGAACGCACAGTTGCTTGTATTTTCAATTTACCATGAGATTCCAGTATGACCAGCAGAGGGTGGACCATATCATAAGGGGACCCACCCGAAAACCCACCAGCGGCGACCAGAAGCACGCGCCCGACGATCCCACAAATTTCATGAAACTCAGTATCAAACATGGCCACTGCGCAGTATTTAATTCCCTCATAATACCGACAGGTTCCGTAGTGAGACTGGTTGGGAAATCGAATCGCCCTTTGTAAGGGATCAAAATATATTCGATTTGCCGGCGGCAACTGAAGAGATATACCAATCGTATGCAGCTCATTGGCGGATCCTGCGCAATCACTACCCAGAAACACCTGTCCCCACACTATTTAGTGCTAAGATTCGATTCTCATTGTTTGCAGGGTATGAGTGATTACGTGTGATGCTGGGAGGCGTGGTCGCACTGCATAGCGCAGGCACGACTCCGAGAGCGCCAAAAAAGCCTTCAATCGGGTTCAATATATATTCATCCAATGGCTAGAGCACACTTAGTGATGATGCGGGGGCTCCCAAAAATCCTGTTTTGAGAGAATGGCTACTAGACAGACAAACAGAATCAGCGATTTTATCTTGACACACACACACCTGGCTATTGCTACCGGGTATAACCCTTCCGCCGAGCGCCTGCGGTTAATGACTTGGAGATGCGGGGTTTTGTTGTATTATTTCTAGCATAGATTACACAGCGCTGAACCCCTAACTTAATCCGCTTTCGGGTAGTCCTCCATAAAAGTTTTTGATTGGCATATCTGCACTCATACGAGTGCCTTCCAACTACTTTCACCTGTACTGTACCGCTAATCTTTTCCTATATGGTCAGACCCCGCATGGCGAAGCACGATGATTGGTTAGAATTCCACCTACGGCTTTTCCCCCTATCAACAGCATCTAAAATACTTGGGGAATTGACCTTTCGGAAATGGATAGAGATGGCCCGACCATATTCGGGAAAGCAAAGATAGCTTTAAAAAGAAAAAAAAATTCGCGCGCTATCCACATCTACTGATCCGATGCCTGTGGTCTGAAATTTCCCTTTCCGGAAAGATCTCACTCTGTCTGTGGGGATGTGGTCATCTCAAAGGGTAATTGCCGATTGGTAAATTATAAGCAATACCCGCATACGGATTATCTCTTTCGGTTATAATCGACACAAGAGATAATCAAAAGGGAAATAAATTGCGAAATATTAGAGGTCGGGAAATCACCCACCATCCGTTCTAACGCTCATAGGTACATGCTGAAACACGTCATGATTTTCTAGTGTACCTAATTCGACGACATGAGTGGATGGAGCTGGTTGGTTGGAAACAAGCGCCTTCAGGCGTTCTTGATAAGATTATGTGTTAGCACCGTGATCACGGACGAGTTTTCTAACATGTGGAAAAAAATATGGGTAAAAAAAGCCCGGTGGAGAAGTTAACTGTGCCTGCAGGCGTAACAAAAAAAAACTCACAAAAAACCGGACCCACACTTCCGCAATCAAGGCCCAGACCGTAAGGTTCGGATTGCTTCAAACCACTTCCGAAATCATAAGAGTACTATCGCGCCCGTTTAGTTGTGGTATCTATGGTGTAGCGCTTTCCCAAAATCACAAGATATCACTCTCTCTGAATGCGCTAAGTATGATAATTCGGCGGGTGGAAAGGTGGAACGTGAGGAAGAGGAAAGAGGAGGGAAAGCAACCAACCGGAGAGCGAAAACCCATCAAATGCTCACCTTATCCTGTACGAAATTGCCTCTTCCGAATGAGATAAAACACCTGGAGATGCCATCTCCATATTTGTGTCTTTTCGTAGTTCTGTATGCGATACCAATAAATCTTCTTGGCGCAGTTCCTTGGGCTGCTTGATGCAGTCACGTCGTGGCCAGGAAATCGGGTTTTTAGTTTTTCCACTCCCCAAATGGCTCGGCACCCTAGGCGAGTTTGACCATTCTCAGCAAATCCCAAAGCTCAAAGCCCTCCTTAAGCAGACTTGGTGACTAATTTGACTATCTCGGAACCCCCCCCCCAAGAGACAGCAGGTATTACTATAATATTGACTCCCGGAGCCTCGGCCGGGTGGGGCGCTCCTGCAATGACCGCTCCACCTACCCTTCTAATGAGGGACCGCTTCCTCTGCCAGCTTTCACTTTTTCCGGATGCTTAGTTCTACTGTGTAGTTACCGAAAGATCTCTGGCGGGAGGGCATCACAAGACGCAGCCCATTTTAGCACTGTACTCAGAAGCGCCATGTATGCCTTGTTCTACCGTAATGCCCTTACGATATGTCGGCGATTGAGACCCCCCCCCCGCAATCCCCTGTTTTTTCGCAAGGAGCAATTGGCTCTCCAAGAAGTGGTTTCTTGTTTTTTATTTTATTCTATTCTCCCCCCCCCTGTCAGCCCAGGCTTCTCTCCTATGCCGGTATCACACCGGGTGGCGAGCTATCGATAAGCTAACAAGGATTATCGGGAACCCCTCTCTATCGCCCAGGAGGCCCAATCTGATGTGAGTGCCTATTAGCAATAACCTCAATTGAATACACAGGTACCGGCATAGCACAGCACAGCACATCCGCAGGAGCCTGCGGAAAAAATAAAAAAAACAGAAAAAAAACAGGAATGTAAGGAAAGCGATGAGCCTCAGATGCGCATCCTTGAGCATCATACGAACCCCCCCCCCGAAAAATACCCTCTACATCAACTTCCACCCCAAGTTAGACCCCGTCCAGCAAAGAGGGGAGTGTGGACAGCCCTTATCCCACTCCCTACTAAAATTCCAATTTTGACACTACCATATGAGAACTCATCTTTTGATGGTCGAATCTCAGACCTTTTAAGTTTACAAACAGCTACAAAAGGAGGATCGTGAATT